AGGGGGGGGGGGGGGGGGGAACTATCCATCGATCGGTCGTTGAAAGACTGTTTCGCCATACGGTGAAACGGCTACGCGACGTAAATTTACGTAACAAGCTGCCGCGTCTCGAGAGCGCGTCTGTTTTGAAACATCGACTCCATGGTAACGGGATGGGGTGAACGAGGCGAGGCGCGAACGGGAAGGTGAGCGCGGTCGCAAAGTAGGGAACCGCTTTCCTTTATTTACGAAGAAGCAGTGCCGTGTGACGGTGACGCGTCGGTGCTTCGATCCTCGGCGTCTTCGACCGGCATGTCGTTGTTCAAAACGAAGGAATGGTGGCGAACGAGGTGCGGGGCGAACGAAAGCTTCGATAGACACAGCTTGCTGGTAGCTCCGTTCTTTGGAAACGAAAGGAAAGACATTCTAGTAGTGGGAAGTCACGAAGGTTACCTGAGGATGTACAGTCCGACGTCGCAGTGGGTGGACGAAACCAAGTCACCGAGCAACTACAAATCCACGGACCTGATGATCGAGACTCGGATCGACGATTGCATCGTGGACATGAAGGCGGGGAAATTCGTTTCGTGAGTTGAGGTCTCGTTGGACGATTGTTTGCGCGAACCGCAAACGTGGCGGGGCTGGAAGACGATTAACGAAAATTCGATTGCAGAGGATCGCAGGATCTACGCCTGGCAGTGTTGTCGGCTTCCAAGTTGCTGATTTACAACGTGGCTCTGGTCGACGAATCCACCGAATACGGTTTGCCCTCTTTTTCGTTCTACCACGGTTTCTCGCGCGTTTCTTCGCGCGTCGCTTCAGGCGCCGATGGCGAAACGCGCGAGAAAACCATCGCCTATCCTATCGGTCGTAAGTAAGATCGGTCGGCAGGGGATCGATGCGAGCTGAAGATGGCTTACGAGCATCAACTGCCAAAGTTTCCGGCCTCGCTGACCACGGGGCCGTTCGGCGGCGTCCGTGGCAGAGACTTTCTCTGCGTTCAGTGCCTGGACGGGACGTTCCTGTTCTACGAGCAAGAGATGTTCGCGTTCAGCCAGTTGCCGAAGAATCGCTTACTAGCCGAGCCGATCGTCTACGTCGCGCGGAACGATCTCTTCGTCACGGCCAATTCCTCCTGGTTTCTCGAGTGTCACAGGCACGTTCTTTTGCGCCTTCGGCACGAGAGACAAACGTTCAACTAGTCTCGTCGCGTTGCTTAGGTACCAGAGCATGGCGGAATGGTCGAGAAAGAAGGAACAGGAGCCAGAGAACGGGAACGGGGATGAGCGACGCGATCAGCCAGGACTGACCGGTACAAGTTTGGAGCCGGATTGGACGTACAACATCGGGGAAGCGGTTCTAGCCATCGAGGCTGTCACCCTGAGCAGCTTCGAGGTGGGAATCGTGGTGCTCGGCGAGAGACATCTCTTCTGTCTGAAGGACAATTGCGCGTCGGTCAAGTACGCGAAGAAACTCGAGTACAAGCCGCTCTGTTTTCGACCTTACGTGATCGGTGAGTATAGTAGCCGGATGGAGAGTAGAGAGGCGCGATCGGACCACGCGACTAGGTAATTTCAGAACCGGACGGGAAGCTGATGGTACTGGTGATCGCCGACACGAGCACACTGATGATTTACGAGGGCAGCACGGTGAAATGGTCGGCGCAGCTACCTTTTCCACCGGTCACCGTCGCCCGAGTTCAGCTTGAGGTGAGCGGCGCCCAGTCGAATCGCGGAATCCGACGGATAGGCTAATCGGATAAATAGATAAAGAAAAAGGAAGAACCTCGTCGGTAATATATCGTCCCCTCACCTTATCTGCTCGTTATCGCGATGTCGCGTGGACTTTGCCGGAAGATGGCAGAGGCTCGTGGCGCGTGCACGCGCGTCCGTCCACTCGGTCGGTTAATTGGCACCGATAACCGAGACACTCCGTTCGCCAGAGATTCCGGTATTCCGAGCAACCGTCGTCCCACATGCTTTTCCTTTTTCCAGCACTTGCAAGCCGCGATCGTGGTCTTATCGGCCGACGGTCGTCTGGAGGCCTGTTACCTGGGCACCGAGCCGAGCCTCTTCGTCGCGCCGCCCCTTCATCCGCGCGGTTACGATTACGCGGACGCGGATCGCCAGCTCTCGGAGCTGCGTGCCGCCTCCGCGAGACGCAACGACTCGAAAGACGACTCGCAAGGTGGGCAACGGGATGTCTCTCGATGTCTACCTGGATGATAAGCTAATCCGTTTCGGTGACGATTCGCAGACGATCGAACCAGCGACGCCGGAGTGGACGCGGAGCTGATAGTGTCGGTGAGCGTGTCGCTGGACTCGGAATCGCCTGGCGGTAACGCGTCGCACGGTACGCGACGTTCCGAAGACGACGCCGCTCAGCATCCACCCGTCTGTAACCTCTCGATAGAGCTGTCCTCGTACGCGATCCTTCGAGATGTCCAAGTCTGCGTGGACGTTTGCAAACCGTTGGTAGCGACCGACCATTTCCACGTCCTTCCGAATCTCTGTAAGCGAAGGAATCGCGACACGTCCGCCAAACATCTGAACACGCTTTTCCGATCTTTCAGGCGAACGACACGTGGCCAAGACCGCGGTATACGTGGACGGAGATTGGCCAGCGTTCTCTTCGGCGGTTACCATTACCGTGAGTTACCGGACGGATGCCGGGGTGCTACGAGCGCTGAGAAGAAGCAGCCAATTACCGCTCAAGACCATGCTGAGAAGCTGCCCGCCCGAGACCACGTCCTCGTTCGTAACCGTGATGAAGAGCAAGGCACCTCTGCTCACCTTCGCCCACCTGTTTCCCGGTAAACGCGTCTCTCGTCGCTGAAAGTTCCACCGTTTAACACGAAAATACGCCAGCAGTTCCTCTTCCTTTCCTCTTCCTTTCCTCTTCCTTTCCTCTTCCTTTCCTCTTCCTTTCCTCTTCCTTTCCGCGCAGCTAAACGCCAGTTCTTGTCCTCAGAGTTCAGCGCGGATCAGTGCCAGAGGCAAGGATGGAACGCGCTGGGTCTGCGACACGTGCTCTCTGGCCAAACGGTCACCGTGGTTTCCGGCAATGCCAGCAATCGCTATCGCGTGCAGTCCAACGACGGATTATCCTCCATCTTGGTCTTGCATCGGCTGATCGAGAGGTCCACGGCCAAGAACGAGGGTAGTCTCGCGACCAGCATCGGACAGAGTCACATAAGATCGATGCATCAACGGATAGACGATCATTTTCGCGTTCGACGAGAGATCGAGAGGATAACGGTAGGCGTTATTATTATTATTATTATTATTATTATTATTATTATTATTATTATTATTATTATTATTATTACCCTCGTGCAACCAACTCGAAAAATCCTTGTCCGTTTCGTTCTCGGTGGATAGGACGAGATCGGCCTGCTGACCAGCCAGCTGAGAAACATCGAGAGGAAGATGCTGCGAGCGGTGAGGGGAAGGAACGAGCGATCTCTGGCCGACACCGAGCTACCGTTCCTCTTCGACTCGACCTACGGCGCGATCTTCGCGCTGCTCCAGGATCTCGCGAAGGCTCGAGCGGTAAGTTTTGGAATTCGCGCGTTCTCCGCTCGTATCTAACGAAAAGCTGCGACTCGCCGACGCAGGAACGGGAGCGAACTGGCCACGAGGTTCGATGCAGCGTCGAGCTGTCGTTACTTTTACTCCGGACCAACTTGACGGAGGACGAGTGCGCGGCGTTGAGGGCAGCGATCGGGTTCGAGCCACGACCCGCCGACCGATTCGTAAGCTCGTTCGACCACCGTTCGTAGTAACGATTCCTTTCACTCTTTCGTTGTCTCGTGGACGCAGGACTGGGAAGAAATCGCCGACGCCGGACTGACCACCTTGCTCGAGTACCTTTCGAGGAAGACCGGCGTCACCGAGTCGAGATCGTCCAAGTGGAACAAGCTCACCCCCATCGCGTCCTCTAAGGAACTGACGAAGCTGAAGACGCGTCTGGTTCACGCGATCGAGCGGCTGACGGGCAACCGCGAATCCGACATCGCGGAGATCGAGCCTGGCGACGGCAACGATCTCGCCTCGACCTAACCATCTCGATTCCTCCTTTATTCTCGTTCGTTCCTCCTCGCGGTGGTACGTCGCGAAGGCAAACGCGATCGAGAGGTAATTTATTCTCGCGCCGCGTTCGCCGCGTTCGCCGCTTTGTCCAACGATCCTCGGACGAAACTCGAGGGGAACGCGCGTTGCTCGATGATTCATTCTGGCGCCGTGATTCTGCTTGTCCGGCTCGTTAATTAACGGAAGGATCGCGGCGGCCCGAGAGATTCGCCTTTTCGTCTCGGGGATCGGACGACAGTGCGCGCTTTGTTCCAGCGTCTTCTCCGGCGATTCGCGCGCGCTCGAAGCCAGAGGTCCGAGATAATGCACGCGAAATACCGTAGAGGCTAGGTGTCGCGACGCGTACAGCGCGTTTCGTCCCGATAACCGAGCTTTTGTCCGAGGCCGTTTCGAGGAACGAACGTTCGCGGTCGGAAGCGACGCGTTAGAGGAAAGACCGTATCCTCGATGAGGCAGCGAGCGACAAATAGACTCGCCAACCTCCCCGCTTCGCCACCCTTTGTTCTTTCTCTTTCTCTCTCTCTCTCTCTCTCTGCCTCTCGTATCGCAGTGGTCACGGACAGCGTGGAATCGCGTTTCTCTTCCATGACTCGCGACGCGTCCACGCTTCCGTCCGTTTGCCCTTTCGTTCCTTCTTCTTTTTGAACCGGCCGAGAGAGAAGCGGCGACGAGGATTACGCGGAAGCTCGAACTCGAGAGAGTCCGGCAATGGACGAGTTTCCAGGAAGGAAGAGGGACGGAGAGAGGGGGGGGAGAGAGAGAGAGAGAGAGAGAGAGAGAGAGAGAGAGAGAGGGGGGGGAGAGAGAGAGAGAGAGAGAGAGAGAGAGAGAGAGAGAGAGGACGATCCGACGCGATTCCGTTGATCCTCGGTAATCCGCGGCAAAGTCCCGATTACGACGCCGCCGTGTATTTCGTCGTCGCTTTGTCCGACCGTGTTGGAAAAGCGGTTTTACGCTTGGCGTTTGGCGCGTGCTACGGCTTGTCGGCTGGAACCACGAGCGGTCGATGCAGGATGGACGACGACTCGCCTCGAGTCGTTACCGCCTCCGGAAGCGATTGATTGCGAACGCCGCTAATTAGCTTACCATATAACGATAAAGCCTGCCTCCTCTTGGCTGCGAGACCGGCGAATTCCTCCGACGTCTTCCACTTCCCCTCCCGCGCCGGTGCATCAAGCGCCAGCGATCGCGTGCCCTTCGCTCTCCCCACCCCTCGCACCGCAGATCCCACCGCGCGTCGCACCGCCGCGCATCGTACTGCGCACCGCGCCTCGCACTCCGCGACCGACGGTCCGTTCGTGCAGGCTAAAGCAGGATACGGTCGTTTCCGGAAACGCGATCGAGATTACGCGCGAACCGTACGCCGCAACCTTTTTCCTTTTTCGCGCCCGAGATTGCGTCGCGAGCGTAGCGACGACGCAACGACCTCGAAAACCTGCTTCGGAGGGCGAACCGTTCCCGGCTTCGAATTTCCCGCCGCGTGCACGCCCGAGGGAAGACCGTTCGGCGGTTCGCGACCGCTTGGCGCACCATTTAAAAGCGGACCCACCGCCTCGCCGAATTCTCCGGTGCCTCCTCTCGGACCACCAATGGAGTTTTTTTTCAAACACGATCCCAAATCTCCGCGAGTACGGTAATCGGGGATAACGAGGCGGTCGGACCAACTAACCAGTTAGAAGGGCTCTCGTCCCGACCAATTACCTCGCCTTTCCACTCCTACCCTAAATACCTATTGCCTTGCTTTCGGACCTCGATATTCGTGCGCGAGACGACCGGTCAGCCGGGATAGCCGCGCGTCCGCTTCCGAGAACTCTGACTCGGCTATTCGTTTCTCTTCCGATCGTCGTCGTCGTCGTCGTTATCGTCGCGACGGTTTGGCAACGACTCGGATTCCAAGTCTCGCGCGCGAGAACGACGAGTCGCTCCTCTCGGCGTAGTCCCGGGTCCGAAGAGAAAACGACGCTTGGCTTAATGGATCCATAAATCACGCGTAAGCGGGAACGAGGGCCGAAGGGAAGCGCGGTATGACCGACGGCTCGGAAGATTCGACGAAAATCGTAAAACCTGCGCGACGTGGGCCGGAAAGATGAACGGAGCAGATAGGCGGGAATGACTCGCGCTAATGACTCGCTTCCGCGACCCTCGCAAAATTTACTGCCTCTTTTCCCCTTTCCTCGCCGACCGCCGACCGTCGACCGCCAACCGCCACCGAGAGTCCCGACCGAGTGGTCGGACAACGGTGACGACGGTGGCGTTGCTGGTGGTGGGTGGTCGTTTCCTCGATCGGGAAAAAGATCGCCAGGGTCACGGCACGCGCTCGATTCGCCGAAAATAGCGACGCGAGCGTCGCGCGTCGTAGTAGAAAATAAATTTCGCCATTGGAATTTGCTCGTGGAGCAATCGCGTTCTCTTTTCGCGTTCCACGTGTATCTACGAATCGTCGCTCCGCCGGCGCACCACCGATACACCTAGTTTCACCACGAACCGCGCGCGTCTGTTCATCGTTCGCTGCTCGGGGTTTATTTTGCCAGTTCAAACAAATTCGCGATCGCCACGTGTTTTCGCTCCGTTGAAACGTCGTAGACGATGCTTCGAGGCGTAGAGATGGCCATTTGTAGGACGCGAGAGGCAACCTTGCCGGCAGCGAATTCGATTGGATTCGATCGGATCGGAGGCGCGCGCATGCGTGTTACCGCAGCGTGGCACGCCGGATACGTGAACAACCAACGGAACGATATAATTAACGCGTAACGAACTCCACTCGCGGTCGAAATAGATCGGTGGTAGAGGTGGAGGAGGAGGGGCGGAATTAAGGAAAGGCTCGAGAGGAAGAGGAGAGATATCGCGTGCGGTGCAACGGTACTTTTCGTGTTCCGTGCCCGTTCGCTTCGAGTCGCCGCGACGGCCAACGGTTCCCCGTGATCCGCGCGTGGTCCGCGCGTGGTCCCCGTGCCTCGTACAGGCGGGAAATTTGCGCGGGTATCTCGGTGGCGAGGCGAAACGCACCCGGTGGACCGCTCGGCGCGAGGTTTTCGCACGACCTTGCGCTCGTTACGCGAAAGAAAGCAAAAGCGTGTAACGCGGTTGCGGTTCCACCGTTTCGGTCCCGTCTTTCCCTTCTCCTTTTCTCCCGCGTCTCGGCCAAATCGCCTTTCTCTTTTCGTATCACGCTTCGCGCGTTCGTGCCAACGAAAATTCGCCCCGTCTCTCTCGTGCGATCGATCGCGGGAAGAATCAAAGACGCGTATAGGTTATACGGCGCGTCGCGGGTATAGTAAAAACTCGTATTTATCGCGGAGTTGCGAGGAACGAAGCGACTTTTACACCGATGCATCGCCTCCTGGTTTTCTTACAGTGACTCATTGTAAGGGCGCGCTTCCACGAACAAAGCTAACAAGGTAGGTAGTACTCGTTACGAACATCCGCTCGCGGAATACTCCGCATCGTCGAGACGCGGTCGAGGTCTGGAGAAGCAAAGAGGGAAGAAGACACAGGGAGAGAGAGAGACGGCGGCAAGGATAGCGGTAGAAAGAGTCTCCATGGAGGAGAGGAAAGGCCAAGTACCATCGATAAACATCTTCGATATGTACAATAGCCAACGGAGTAGTCGTTGTCCTCTCTCTTTCTCCTTCTCTCTCGCTCTTAGCCTTTCTCTCCGTTGCCGGTTACCCCGCGACGATACCGGTCCTCTTCGTCTGGCCCGAGCGGCGGAACGAGAAAGGAAAAGACGCATACCTAGCGCGATCCTTTCGCATCGGGTCGAATCGATCGTAAACTCGTTAATGGTATCGAGGTTAATGCTCGCGGGTCGATCGGTTCGACGAGAGATCGCTGTGTTTGCGCGGAATCCTCGATATTCCGACACCGGATATCTCGTAAAAACGCGGTATTATTATTGAACGCGCGAACCGATACGATTATCGAAGTGGAACACCGTCGATAGGACGGCCGGATTTCGAAGACGTTGCCGGACGCGACAGCGACCGCGTGGAAAAGCTCGCGATTCCAACATCTCGAGCCGGGAACGCGCATCCGAGTCAAAGTTCCTCGCGGTCAAGCGCGGGGTCGGCTAGGTTCCTACCGAGCAGCTTCGAGGAATCGGCATTTTCCAGCATTCCGATCGAACAGGGACGCGCGTGCGCGCGCGCCCCGACGATAGCCTCCCTCCCTTCCTCCCGCTCTCACACTCGCTCTCTCTCTCTCTCTCCCTCCTCTTTCCCCTCGTTCCATCTCGATAACGTAACCGAGAACCTTTTTTCCTCCGCGATCTCTTCCTCCCGCGGCTACCTTCTCTCGCGCCGATTCACGTGCGCGTGCTTCGCTCCACCACGCGATACTAGCATAGCGACGATCGAGCACACCCCGTCGAGAAAGCGATATATAGGTAGCGTAGTGGAAAACGTCCAAAACTCTGGCACTCGTCTCGGATATCGAGACGAGAACACGATCGGTATCGCGTCGCGTGGTGCACAAAAATTTTCGAACCGCCGGGTAATCGAATCGGCATGCCGCTAACGCGAGGAGAAAGAGAGAGAGGAAAAAAGGGAGGGAGAGAGACCGAGTTGGAACATTCTCCCTTTCTCGTTCGTCGAAACCTTGCGCAGTTTCTCCTCTGCCGTTCTCTTCACCGGTTCATCGAGCGAACCCACTCTCTCTCTATCGGAGGCAACTGCTGCCTCCTCCTTCTCCTCTTTCCCGAGCCCTTGTTCCTCCAGCTTCCTTCGTTGCTACTCTGCCGTCACCGCCACCACCGCCACCACTATCACCACCGCCAGCACCACCACCACCGCCGCCACCACC